TATGAAAAAAAAATGTTGCACATACTTTTTTGATTTATCAATGTCTACTCTACATCATATCCAATTTTTAACAAATATAGCAAAAAAAAATGCAACCTCTGATATTGCTACATTTCGGACTGGACTACATGCCGGTATTGAAAATAACATACATTATATTTTGACTATAGAACACAATCTGATTCTGTATAAGTAGTAGGTTTACGAACTTTTCCTATCACTAGCAGACCGTAGGGGTCTTGAAATGGAAGGAAGGGAGCTGATGGGGACAGGAAGGTAATGTGGGGGATCGGTGATTAGGTGAGGGGATAACTCGCAAAATAAGGTGATATGAGGTGATCTTTAACTACTTGAGCATGATTTGTGGGCGGGGGGGGGGCGGGGGGGGGGGGGGGCGCGACTGGGGAATGGGCGAGTATTTTTTCAGGGGTAGAGGAGGGACGTGCGCGCCCCTTGCACTCATCCTAGATACGCCAATACCTAGCATACCCTGCAATTTACCCTACGGTCCGTCACTGCTCTATACATAGGCCGACAACATTTGCAAATGATTATGCTTTAAAAAATAAATTTGATTAAATTTACAAAGAGATGCTCGGTCATTTTGCCATTTAGTGAGTAATGTGAAATTCGTTGGTGGTTTATAATGCCAAACCCAAGATCTAAAAATAAGAGTTGGAATGTGTGAAGTATTAATATAAAATGATGTTAGATAAAAATGATCAAAAATACTACAGTATCTAAATTTTAATAATAATAATAATAATAATAATAATAATAATAATACAGTAATAATACTAATAATTAATAACTAAATAAATAAATGGGTATCTATATAATAAAATTTAAAAAAAATTCACTAAGCGGCTGATTGCCCTGCTTTCTCATAATTTTTAAATTAAAATTATTTGCTAATAATTAAAAAGCACATTAACAAAAATGTCTTTTTTAACCGAAGTAGTTCACCCCATGGATTAGTAGTCTATCCCAGATCGGCAAACAGGGACGTGCCTTTTTCTAAGCATGTGATTGGTTGAGAGGCTGGTAACGGAATGCTGGTTGTCTCATTGGTTGCCTCTGATTCTCTTGCGGAAATACATTTGTTGCCTTAGCTGATGCCGTCTGGAGTGGATTCGTCAAGCTTGTGAATAGGTAAGATACTAAAAACAATTGCATTGTTTTCCTGCATCTTTAAGTTTATTTTAGAATATCTAGCGGATACCTCGGCGGCATTGCTTTAGATCATTTCATGTAAATATAAATAACGAAAACTATACAGATACGTTACAGGACCGTCGGTAACCAACGTTTGTTCAAAATACTATAGTAAAGATCAATGGTCGTTTCGTCGCCTAATGCGGAAGTGCTCAATCATTAATATACAGTAGTTATAGGTCTGTTTGCTATGCCGTTCATGGAATACCAGGGAGATGCTTAATTGAAATAGTTAATGAATAATAGAGATTATTGAATATTGTGCCTTCCTGTTAGTCGAGGAAAGTACTAGGCCTACATAGAGAACGCTCCCCCACCCCAAGAACCCCGGTCTCTCCTACTTCCTAATCACGTTATGACTAATGTTATTGCTTCGCAATTTTGTGTATAGGCCTATCGTCGTCTTAGCCAAAACAAAGATGTGTTTGTACATTAACTTATCAAGCCTATTCTATTATTAATTAATACAGTATTATTTTTGTGTACAGTTGTTTCTACAAAGAAAAAAAATGTATTTAGAATCAGTGGTTGCGCCAGGATTTGCCATTTGCACCACGAGGGGGAGAGTGGTGTTAGTGGGCGGGGAAGAACTGCGTAGACTTCCCCCGTGCCCCCGGGAAGTTCTGACAATTTAGGATTTGAAAGGCATTCATCGATTTTAGAGTCCCACACGCACATAGAATTATCTGAGAATCCTTGGTTGCGTAGGCCTACGTATTTATTTTTGTAGGCGTATGGCTATTTGAAAATAAGGGCCTACAAAATTGTCAACCCACGGGGCCTAGAAGACAAGCGTGACGATAAGCCCTTCGATTTATACTTGTGTTCCATTTTAGTAAGGCATATGTAGTACCTTGGAGGAAACCGTTGAGAAATTGTTTCTCAAAGGTAGTAAGCCTAGTACACCGTACAGTAATGCCAAAAAAGAAAGAATTTATTAAAAGCATGGAGGTGTTAAAAGTATGGAAGAAATACTATGCCTATGCATTCTTCATAGTCTATGCGTCATTAATGATATGAACATGGCGCCATTAGTTTTATCACCATTGCTTTAAGTGCAACATGTGGAGTTTGATTTGGTTTTGTAAATATTGTGTTGTTAGCATTGTAGATAGCCGACTGAAACGAAACAATTATTAATCTGGACGTTAACAGCATATGCATGTACCTGTGTATAGGTACCTCCCCCTACTGTATTGTTCACGTGAGTTAACGAACCTGTGATTGCCACATATGCGAAATGAACATGGAAATGATCATATCATTTTGGCCCTGTTCCAAGTATTACTATTTTATAGGGTGTGGTTAGACCACGTGTTGTCTTCATGTTCTATTAATCATATCCCCACTCACCCATGCGTTCACATTTCTCTCGGAGTAGCTGCCACGAAAACCAATTAAAATACACCTTTTGTGAAATGGTCTAATCCAAATTGTTGAGTTCGTGCTAAACCTAGGCAACGCAAGTTTGATTGCCATATAAGGGAAGGACAGCTAATAAGAGGCTGATCTGACTGCGTAGAATCGCTGTTATAGGTCAAAAGTGTTTCATATTTCCATTTCTTCATCATAAAGTAAGGGCAGGGTAATTTGGTCATTACAATTAATCCGGCTATTTATCAATTCGTTAACAATGACTATTAATTCTTAAGATTCACGCAGCTGCTCTGCACGCAACGCCAGGTCTTGGGGTAGGGCCTTTATTTCTTCCTAGATACTAATTTCATGATCATAGAGCACCACTTGCTACATATAAATCATTTCCTTTACTTAAAAAAACTACATATAAATCATTTCCTTTATGTAAAAAAAAAACAAAAAAAACAAAAAACCGTGTTACGTTAAGAGTATCATATGGTCGTATTTTAACATTTAAAAATCAATGGGAGACGTTGCTCACCACACCCACATTAGCCCCATGATTGGGTTGAGTTCAGCTGAGAAAATGTATATTTTTAGCACCTCTAGATATCCGGAAACGGTTTTAATAGATTTAAAGGGCTGACGTGAGAGCTTGAGATTGGGTCTGAAGGCGTGTGTCTGATGCCAGATCAGCGGCAGTGCCAGATATTTCATGACTAGAGGTCCAACGTTCCCTGCGAGAGGTTAAGTTAACTAGACAGAGGTCCAAGTTCACCTCTGCCCCATCGTTTTGGTGCAAATTGCCTTGTTAAGACTAGATTTGTGATAAAAATATTTAAATGATATTGAGGGTAATATTATTAAGACTAGATTTGTGATAAAAATATTTAAATGATATTGAGGGTAATATTATTAAGACTAGATTTGTGATAAAAATATTTAAATGATATTGAGGGTAATATTATTAAGACCAGATTTGTGATAAAAAATATTTAAATGATATTGAGGGTAATATTAATACCCTTATTCTGAGGGTTCCAATTGATCAGCTCTGTCTGGATGGACCACACTCACAAAATATTGTTGAAATAAATTTTTAAAAATAAATAAAATGTTGCACTCTTTTTTGTGTCCAAATTTTTCTCAACGGTCCTTGTATTGCTAATGCTCGTGTTAGGTTGGAATTCGCCATCACAAGTAGGAATTGCTGAAATTCCTATCAGAAAATGTACCTCCGGGCCCGTCAAGTGTTTACTCTCTTATTCTTATTCTACACATCTACATTTCTGTATATAAATAGACTTGGAAGTAAGTATATAAATATAGTAACTTCCACTAACTCCTACTCTGGCCCCCCATGCCAATTCGCTGAATTGATTATGGAGACTGGATTTCACTTTCTATTTTCTTTAATATAATTTTTAAGGCCTGTCCTAAGCGACGTGATGTCGCATTATAAAAACAAGCCAAATAATTACCAGATTATGTTTCCATGGTTACATCTCTCGAATATCGAGTGAGTGACGCGTCAACACATTATTCAGACGCATTTATTTTACTTATGATTATTATTATTATGCTCAATAAACCCGTTTAGTTGACCATCTGTGTGACGCGTCAACACGTTGGTAGCTAGCGATTTTGATACGACATGTGCTATCTGATCATGTGGTGTTCAATTTTCGTTCATAATTGTGACGCGTTACGGTACTTGAGGCGACACCACTTGCGATGATCTGCTGGTGTTACGAGGGGTTGAATCACAGTCGAAAACACGACGGGAGAGGAAAAAATGCAGGCAATAATAAATCATTTTTTAACAATAAACATAGTTCTAATGTTATAAACATTGAGAGGCGCGTATGGGTTGTAGTAATTTGAATTTGTTATATCCATTAATAATCCTACTGTGCTAAATGCGGTTAAAATTAATTCCTTTAGTGTTAATGTATCTTACACAAACGTAGCATAGTTCTGTAGACTATTAAAGTATTAGAGGAGGCCTTGTGTGATGGATATGGATGGATGTGTTTTTATAGGATGCATTTGTCCTTAACAGTTTGGGTTTTTTACCGATTTGTCATTATGGCAACCTTTTGTATATTTTACTCTAATGGCCGCTCATACTTTTAGACGTCTTTCGGAAGGTACAAGTCTCAATAATTGATAATTCAAGAGTATCGAAAGAGATGGAAATTTTCTTCACACCATTGATTCTTAATTTTTACGTCAGGTGCAAAGGTTATTATATTGTAATGATTTTAAAGAGGTATTCAAAATAGAAACAGACGTAAGGTGTACGTAAATTAGCTATCTTTCAAAGGGAACTAAAAAATGTGATTGCACGTTGGCAAATTGTGACGTAACGCTTACGTTGTGATTGCGCAGTCGATCATTGATTAGCCTAGTAATCTTAGCATCGATGATTTACGAAACAGAAACATTGGTAGTGACAAAGAAAATGAAGCAAAAACCCCCCAAAACAACACAAGAAAGTCTATCTAAAATGTTTACGGTATGCTGAGAATCACTAAGAAAACTTGTTTATAGGTAATGAATTAGAGAATAAATCAACATTAAAGGTGAGACTCAACAAGTAAAATAACGATATGAAGGGGGATAGGTCACCTCGCGTCGCTAAAAGACAAGTTAAAATAGATAAGCAAAGTTAATTAAAAACAACAGTAACATAGGCCTATATACACAAATGCAGAAGATGGAGAAATAAAATCGTAAAATAGGCCTATACCAACACTAAGACTAGAGAGCAGCATAGGCCACGAGACACTCGAGGGCTCCCCATCCCCGCCATACAGTAGGTCGATAACATTGGTGGCTGGAATCAAGGACTTTTATGGACTTTTATAAAAGCTCTTGCTGGAATTATGATATAATGTTTTAAATGTATTTACCGATTTTAACATATTAACAGCAACGAGTTTTGATTTTTTCCTCATTTTAATCTTTAGATCTGTAACCATGCCGACTGGATTTGTGAAAGCCAAAGAATATGACTGGAAAGATTCTAATTTAGCACTTTTCGGATCTGACACAGAGAAAAATGTGAAGAAGGCATCAGCAGAGACCGAGCCAGCATGGTCGGGAGCTGGTCAGAAAGTTGGCCTGCAGGTCTGGCGTATCGTCAAATTTAAGGTCAAGCACTGGCCAAAAGAAGAGTACGGCAAATTTTACAATGGTGATTCTTACATCCTACTGAACACCTATGTAAGAAAGTTTCATAATGAAAAATTGTAATGGTTTAGTTAGACGGATTCAATGGGCAGGCCGACCCGTCCCATTCCTACATTTTTGAAAATAATAAAAAAAATATATTGAAATGTAAGTTAGTGTGCCATTTCCGACCATCCAGAGGACACATTTTCTTACCACAGCCCTAACAATGGTCAGACTAAAGTTACCTGGACCCTTCCTTTGTAAAAGTCTTTCCCTGGGCCCCTCTATTTCGAATTCCGGATCTGCCATTGGTGGATTGGCGGATAACTGTGTGGGTGGGAACACTGGTTGGAAGCTGCCAATATTATATTCAAATAGGCCTGGAGCAAATTTCTTACTAAACCTCTCAAGTATCGTTACAAAAGTAGGTTTAAAATGTGAGTTTGCTTTCCAATTTATCAGAAAGATCCAGAGGGGGATGAGCTTCTTCATGATCTGCATTTCTGGATCGGAACAGATTCCACTCAAGTAAGTCGACCTCTTCTTCAATCACTATGCGTAGGCTCCATTATATTAAGCATTTGTATTTTATGAGCTGCTCTCGACGTTCGGCTCTGTACCAGTAGCATCTATTAATACCCTAAAAGGCATAAATTAACCATACATTATGAATAAGCGAACGCCGAATTAGACATTTTTTTTTTTTTTTTGTAGACTGTATTTGTGTAATTACTGTTTCTGTGCATTGTTTGCGTGGTCGATGCGTTTGCGATGGAAAATGGGGATTAATATCATGCTTGCCTGCCATTCCAGGGTTCTAACGTGAATATTTTTTTTAACCACAATATTTCCTGCTGCTTAAAACAGATCCAGTTTAAAGCAGCATTTATAGGCAAAGGTACCTGTAAATCATCGAGTAAGAGCTACTGAAATAGGCCTAAACGTGATTTTTGTTAGGCCTATTACAATAGAGATAATCCTCTATGGATATACTGTACAGTATAGCACCTATTATGAATAAGCGAACGCCGAATTATACAATTTTTTGTAGACTGTATTTGTGTCATTACTGTTTCTGTGCATTGCTTGCGTGGTCGATGCGTTTGCGAGGGAAAATGGGGATTACTATCATGCTTGCCTGCCATTCCAGGGTTCTACCGTGAATATTTTTTTAGCCACAATATTTCCTGCTGCTTAAAACAGATCCAGTTTAAAGCAGCATTTTAAAAAAACGTGATTTTTGTTAGACCTATTATAATAGAGATAATCCTCTATGGATATACTGTACAGTATAGCACCTATTAAAGGGGCATCTTCGGGACCTGAAAAACTTTCCCTAGCGCCTTAAAATGTGTCCCCTTTATCGGGGTGTCCAAAAGGAGGGGTTCTCTTGTATTTTCGATAACTGAACGTTGAGCCATATCCTTTGGACCGACTTAGATACGCCTAGAGTATTTAAAACACGTCTGTTTTTATCGACGTTTAGGACGAGTATGGTACGGCTGCGTATAAGACGGTTGAGTTGGATACTCTTTTGGATGACAAACCCGTACAACACCGGGAGGTCATGGACTACGAATCTGACCTTTTCAAGTCATACTTCAAGGCAATCGAGTATGTGGAATAATCTTTTGAAAATTTTTATTCTGTTTTATGGAGACATTCCATTGGTTTATACAGCAATTGAAAACAAATAGGAAGTTTTAAGAAAACAACAGAAACTACAAAATATTCATACTGGGTCCACAGAGTCCCGTACGATATCATTATGGATTTAAGACCACTCACTAGTATCCCTCCCTTTCATACAGCTCGAGAGCTCACACATAGTAGAGCGACTTTTTAAACTACGTAAAAGCTTACATGTAGCAGCTGGTAAGTCATAGGAAACAATATTAAAATCAAGTTGCTGCTTAGCACTGGGAACACAAATAATGTATGAATCAAATAGATTAAAGTGCTCTCAAAGAATGTTGTCCTCTAAATAAATATATTATGTAATAAAATGTAATAAATCCGTCAGGATTCCAACCTGCGACCCCTCGCTGTCAAGACGAGCGTGATAACCATTAGACCAAATCGGCTTCATGGTTGAACCATGGAGGAAGAAAATATGGTTGAACGTATTCAAATAATAGGCCTACTTATTCGCACACTGTATTTACCTTTATTATCATCTTTAATTAACACCAATGGAGGTGTATCACTATACCCAAGTTACTTTCATGTGTATACATATACATCACATACATACATCTATATGTGTATGTATATATATGTGTATATATATATATATGTGTATATATATGTGTATATATATATATGTGTATATATATGTGTATATATATGTGTATATATATGTGTATATATGTGTGTATTATATATATATATATATATATGATATATATATATATATATATATATATATGCCTATATATCATATATAACATGATTATAACGATAGCTTGCTTGATTTCGCGTAACTTTTTTCTGTAGGAGTTTGAACATATTTCTTCTAAATAAATTATTTAAATTAGAATTTCCAAGGCAATAACAAGGTAAACTTTTTAAACATTCGAAATACAAATTATTATAAACTAAGGAAAACATAACATCAACTTCCGCCTTTCATTTCTCAATAAATTTTACTTTTCTTTTCAGTGTCCACTGAACAAACACTGCTTGAATCCCGACGATGTTTTCATCCTTGATCTTGGCCTCCAGATTTATCAATGGAACGGAGAGAACGCCAACAAGGATGAAAAATTCAAGGTAAGAACCATTAGAGTACGGGTGGGTAAATAGCGGCCCGACAGACAATTCACATGTCATGTTTTACTGTTAACTAAAAGTTTTTAATATTACTAAAATTTAGTTGAAATAATATCTGTTCAGTTCAAATTAATTGGTTTGTTAAAATTAAAACAAATTCACATAACTAAAATTTTGTTTTAAACAGGAAACAGTGAAATTACACTGTTTCCTGGTTTTAAATATTCTGCTATTAAAGATTCTGTTGATCATAAAATCGAACCTAGGCCCGTTTTAGAATCCTTGTTGGGCATACGTAAATCCTGTTCTAAAAAACAGTTTACCAGCCAAGTGGGTTAAAATACTATGACCATTCATTTTTCATCCTCCTCACTGGAGATATACTAAGGACATTAGGGTTAAATTCACCTCATATAACCTTATTTTGCCAGAGTTAATGCAAATGATATAGGGCCAGTTGGCCTATTATTTATTCCAAGCCTAGATTTTGAAAAGCAATAATAATATATATAATTGATGATGTATACAATATGCAGAGGCCTTACTGTATACAACAGGAGGCCCGTATTGGAGGCACGTGATATGAATACTGTATATTAAATCATAGAGAAAATAGTTTCTCTATGGGTATATAGGTCTACATGTTGGTGATGACCAGAATATACAGCAACCCGCTGAACCGTATTAAAAACAATAGAGTCACCTAACCGCTCCATGATGAACAATATAAATAGGATATATAGGTGTAATTTTGCCCTACCTGACGTGGAAATGTACCGAATACTCAGTACATTTGAAAACAACTGTGCAAGTTGTTCTCGGGTGGGACTCGAACCCACGATCTCCAGATCACTAGCCTGGCATCATACCTCTAGACCACCGAGCTTGCGCCTGATGGCCAGGGTTGAATTCGAGTCCAAGTAAGCAGCGGGCACTGCAGTGTTGGTAGTGATTGTTATTGTCGTGATGGAATAATAGACAATAACTGGATTTACGTCAGGAGAAACATGTATAGTTGTAATTTTGCCCTACCTGATGACTTAAAAGCCGTTGCTCTGACACCAGGATTTCGTTTTTTACAGGCTATGCAGTACGTTGCTGGATTGAAGAGTGAACGTGGAAAAGCAGAGAGCTCTACACTAGAAGGCGATCGTGTATCTTCTGACCACCCATTCTATAAGGCTCTATCGGATGACCCGCTTGACGCAGCCAAAGATGAATCTGATACTGAGTCGAAACCAGCGATGTTCAGGTAAAAAACACAGCCACAAACATTTAGTTGATATCCATATTTATCTTTTAAATTTTGTCAGTTCTTCACTGGCCGATATTAATGCTACAAATTTGACAACAAAAGTAGTAACAGCGTGTTTGCTTATACTGATACATTATTTCCCGATTTATTTTATTACTCAATTTTGGTAGTTTGTTCCAGCCTAACATATTCGTCCTCTTCATCGTTTTTCCGCAACGGAATTGTTGGTTATTTCATACTTATTTTCCCCTTGACGTCATGATGCACGATTGTTTTCTTTTTCAGGCTTCAGGATCGAGGTAAACTTCATTTCGAACAGGTTGCCGATGGTTCACTTCCAAAGAACAAGTTAGACAGTGGGGTGAGTAAGCATTCAGTTATTAAACAGTATTTAGACCTACATGGTTAAAAGAAACTGTCAAATTGCAACCAATTGTTAATTTTACGGTACTTACTCTTTAACTTGGTTGATTGCCAAGTAATACTGTAATTCTACAAGTTATCGCTATTATTGTTTTTGCATTTACTGTATTCTTATATAATAGGATGTTTTCCTACTGGATAACGTCAAAGAAATGTATGTTTGGATCGGCAAAGAAGCAGATGCAGCTGAAAAGAAAAACGCGTTTGCCTACGCTCACGTAAGTAAACAACATTTACGCATGTGGCTGTGCTCACGTACAGCAACAGCACTAATCTCAAATAAACGCATTAAACACAAAAAACGCATTTGCCTATATGCTCACGAAAGTAAACAACTAAAATATATTCTACGACATTAGAATATCCTGTCTTGTGAAATCACATTAGTAATTTGGGTGCAGCGAAAATTCATCCACTAGTAATCAATGAAAGTGATAATGAAGTTTTTGAGATAAAAGTATTTTCCCCGACGCGATTTTTCCAACCCACGACCTGCGATTCGGATGTTCCCCAATTGAACAAATGGTATACTTTTAGATGATTCGATTAGGACACCACTTCTCTCAAAGTATTGCGTATACGCAATGAATAATGATCATATAAGAACTTTGGTATGTGGAGAAACACCACGGGACTTAGCCTAGTTTTAAATATAAGTGATATTATGCAGCAATGTGGGGCACAAACATTTATTAAGATAACCGACTTTCGCAAATCTCATGGTTGGAGACTTATATGGTGATATTTTTCGTATCTACATGATTATTTCAATTTTTGTAAAACTAGGACTATTGTTTCTTATATTTCGTTATTATATTTCTAATAACCTATCGACATTTCTTATTGATTTCAGAACTATCTTAACAAAACGAAGCACCCATTCATCCCGATATCATGCGTTTCAGAAGGCCGCGAACCAAAAGCTTTCTTCGACACGCTATCCTAAGAAAAATACCATGTAGAACTAACGAGACTATTGGATAAAAAGCTATTTCATTCTTCTTCTAATTATGCCTTGCCTACCCATTGATTTTTAGTTCGCTTTAGATTTACACCCAAGCTTTTAGGGCATAATTAATGCCTAAGCTGTAATGTTTATTTATTAGTCGTTCTATCTAATTTTATATGAGATTACAAGATAATAAATTAACCCACAATATATATTCAATGTGTTGAGATAACAAGAACATTAAGAACTGTTTGCCAGTGGAAGCCGCAGTGCAGTGCCACCTATGGTGGTGAATTGTCCGTTAAGACAAATCCCTTCTCTTGTGTAAGCGTTTCTATGTGCGCATGAGCATTAATGACCTCTGAACAGGGACGGGGACTGTCGTCGAATATGAATGACTAGACATGTGATGATCTAGTCTGATCCATCATCCACTGTGGTGAACGTGCAGATCATATTACTGTAAACAAGGTCTAAATCATTAATTGCTTAGCAAAATAAAGTATTGTACAATTAAATACAGTATTGGCTTCTGTTGTTTATTTGTAGAACGCTTACATTTTTTTTGTTTCTTGTGTAATAGGCCATAAGTAAAGAGGAATATACAATCATGTTCAGCATTACAGTACATAGTTACTTTATTAATTAAAGTAGGCCTAGTTAATGTTTAGGTGTAATGATAATGCTCTTGTAAAAGTTTCTCTTTCAATCATAAAACAAAGAGGCCCCGAGCACAAAGGGGCCCCGAGCTTCTCTTACTACTACTCAGCACTGAAAATGCCGAGTCGCCAGATTAAAGGGACTGGAGCATAGCCTAGTAGCCGTCGAAGCATTTAGTAAAGGGAGGGTGGGGCGCTTAACAAAATGTTGAAAATATGGAACCCTAGACAATGGCATATCTAGTTTAGGCCTACTTTAATTTATGTGAATAAAACAAATGTATATACGTCTATTGCGAAAATGATAAATTGTTAAAAATTTAATTTCTAATCAGTGCCAAAAATAGATGAAAAGTGCAAGAAACAAATATACATAATACAATGAATAACAATGACTGTCAATATATATAAATATTATCAATATGCAACTAAATGTTACGAATACACAGGATGAAATATACGATGCATTATATTTGGAAATAAGCCTATAAATTAAATAATGAATAGAGTTTGGAATAACATAATGATGTAATGGTACAATTTTAATTTCACTTCCTTGCGAAATTCAAACTGAAGCAACAATTAATTATTTGTCACATTCTAGATGAGCTTTGTACAATACACCACCAGAAAATACCAAATCTTAACTCGTTCTTAATATTTTACTTGCACAATTGATTTGTAAAGCACAGTGGAGCACGTTTGCACAGCACAGGACTCCTTGAATAAGCGTTTTGTTGGCTTTTTATGGAGGATACGATTCAAGAATCACTTACATTATTAAAAGTTTTTTAATTAAGTGCTGTGTTTGCTTCTGCTAGGGCTTATACCGATTACACTTTAATTTTAGTCAATATTGAATTCATACCTACTTCAGCCATACCATGGTGGGCCTGATGTGAACACATTTTGAAAATATAGCTTTTCTAGATGGATGCCCAGAAATAGCATCTGGCAAAGTGCAAAGCAGCTACCTCTGTTCCAACGCACTGCAGGGGCAGATACAGGATTTAAAGTTGATGAAAGTGGACAAGTATGATACCATACCCATCCAAGCTTTACCATGGTTCAAAAAATGGCTCTTTTGCCGAGAAAAAGCACAGGACATGCATACTTCAAAAAATAAATGTCCATCACATTGGGTTTAAATTTTAATTGCAAGTAATCAGGCGGCCAGTTTGACCCGTATACCTTTGTGTGGTGACAATATAATTGGTCGACTCAAACCTCCAACATTTTTATGGGTCTACATTGATTTATATTTCTTAACATTTTTAAAATCGACCGGATCTTATTTACTAAAATTAAGGATTGTCAGAATTTAAAATGTACATAGGCAATATACAAAAACAAGGGCATGATAAGTTTTTTGTTTAAATACTATATAACATTACAATGACAATGTGATGCGAACATTATTAATAAATTCATATAATTCATAGGTATAAGTAAATAGGCCTATTAATTTAAAAAAGTAATAGAATTGAGAAAAAAATGGTGCGGCCGGTGCGATTCCGACGGCCCTGAAAGGGGCCACAGGGTTTATACTACTGTAATACCCAAGCAATCTAAGAGAATATTCCTCTTTTCAAAAAATTAACTAACGTCAAATAAGTAAGACTCTTGTGTTGATGATCTCATTGATAGACATTTTATCAAAACAATCAATTTTGGTTACTTAACCGTCTTTTATTGGTATTTTCAAGTCTTTACTATTAGACGACCCGGAGAAAGAGTGTTCCAAAAGTCGTAGGCCTACAATTTTATTATCAAGTTAATACATATATTATAACTATTATTACTATAGATTAATTATTATTGTTATTTTTATTATTATTACTATTATTATTATTATTATTATTATTATTATTATTATTATTATTATTATTATTATTATTATCGTTATTATTATTAGGCCTATATTAATATTATTATTATTATTATCAACACTAAAGGCCTGTTTAAACTATAACGATAACGATCAACGATAAAAAGCTAAGAAGCAATTGTGTATATATAATAAACAAAATAAGAGAAGTTTTCACACTAGCACAATTAAATTGTGCTAGTGTGAAAACTTCTCTTATTTTGTTTAAATTGTGCTAGTGTGAAAACTTCTCTTATTTTGTTTATTATATATACACAATAATTTGATAACAATTTATCGTGTATACGACAAAAAAATAATTTCACAAATCAAATGAAGCCATAATCATGACCAAAAGAATCCTGTTCAAAAGAACACAAAAAAAATGTTTGTACTCTTTTTCTAATCATTAACTTTTGCATGTGTTTCTGTACGTTAACACATCAGGTAGGGTAAATGATCATTCCTATGATATTTCCTGAGACTCACACCATAATAGCATTTGTAGTGGTTTTCATCTGGCTAGATAACCTGGAGGTCGTGGGTTCGATTCACACCCGAACCATATTTTTTTTTAAATTATATTATTGGCGAGTATTTGGGGACGTACTGAGCATTCGAAACAATAATACGACAGGTAGGGCAAATAATCACTCCTATATTTCCTTGTAGAGGTTTGTGGAAGTAGTGGCTTAGAATCCCACCCGAACCATTTAAAAAAAATATTCATTCATAACAATTATTTCGAATATTTAATAAGAACATAAGATATATTTATTAATAAATATTTTGAATATTTAAGTTTTTTTTTTACATTTAACACCATTACAATGCGTAATATTGACCCACAGCTGTATATATTCGTATCATGTTGTCAGGTAGTCTCGGAGTCGACTGGCTGGTACTTGGTATGGTACAAAGGTTTATTGCATTTTTGGCTTAGCTAATACACCGGCAATCAGCTACATTGTAGTAAGGAGCAAGAGAAGGAAGGATGCGATAATGTTATAAGAGTCAAGCTCGGTTTCCATAGAATCGCTCACCCTATAGATATCGGCGACAGTCGCCGATAGTTGTCGGGAAGGCTGAACCTGGTTGAACTTTGCCGATTGCGCTGTAGACGAATCGGGTGCCTTCCCGATTGCGTCAGGGCGGACATGATCACAGAGATGGTGGAGAGAAAGCAAATATGCTCATCTTCGATTTAATCCTAAGGTAGCAAATTTACTTCAGATTCAGAATGTATTTATGTTCACACGGAAACTATTTGTTCTATGCAAAACTTCGAATTTTAAGATTTTCGATAGGCCCTGAGGACCCACGGCAAGCACAGGGCAGCGCCAGTACCAACATAACGGATACATTCTTCCAAAAACCGATGGGTCTGAACTACGGCCTTTAGCACAAGAAGCAGGAACATTACCTAACGCAAAAACGATCATCTCCAACGGGTTACAAAATTAATCTGTACTAAATTAAAGTAAAACAGAAGTCATCCTTCCAACTTGCATTTCGATTTTATTACACAATGCGAACATTACATTACAGTACTTTGATAAAACAGAAATCATTAGTGTTCTCATCGATAAAATATAATGACTGTATCGTTAGCATACCCTATCACTACGACAAACAGGTGGTGAATAATGATCTGTTAGTAAAGTTTGTTTAATATTGTATTTGTTCCTTCAGTATCTGACAAACTAGTTTTCACTAATTTATTTTCACCACAATAATTAGCATAAGTCACTTTTGACGTCATCACCATACATTCAACGTAATTACTTCCTATCCCAGAGAGGGCGTTCAAGCAATATTTGCTCCTTTGAATCATTATTTTCAAACATTGCCCTCAAAACAAATGGACCCTTCGGGAGTGTCAAACAAACTTAACAACTGACCATTCAGAATAGGGCCAGCAGATCTTAATGGAGACAATACATACTTTATCTCAAAAATAACATCTTTTTGCATATCCGTAATGGAGTTGTAATAGATTAATAATATTATATTAGTTTGTAGTATTAACAGTGCTTTTGAGCTCTCGGGAAGGGGGGGGGGAGCACAACCAACCCCCACAACCACAACCAAAAGGGGCCCTGCACTCATATTACTACTAGGTGACACAGCATAGTTTTACAGAGCCCTGGCCATTCTCCTCAGCCCAGGGGTTTAGCCAGAAAAACAAAATAGGCCGTCCAAAATATGTTTTAGTTTAATGCAACATTTGATTAAAAAAATATAAAGAATTTGCTAAAGGTAGAGCAGGCCCAACTAGGCTAGGCCGAGCTGAGTAGGCCAAGCCGTCCAAGCCGCCACAGTAAAAGTGGCCATCCTAAAATGATTGTTGGCCATCCAAAAGACGGACGGACGTCTCTCTGGCTAAGCCCATGCCTCAGCCACAACATTCATATAATTTTTAGGTAGCGAGATTATCCATCCCTGGTCTACTTTCCAAGTGAAAAAAAATTTGCTGACACGGTCCTAGCAATTACTCCCCCACCATGACTTGTCAACAGAGACGGTATACCTTATCAAATTACATGAATATATTGTTACATATCATATAGCATTTCTTTTACTGATAAACCTTACTGTTTATTACTATGTAATTATTATATACACATATTGTATAATACATCATATAGTTAGTACACTAAATAACTTATGATATAATATATACAGTATATTATACAATATAATTGTATACAATGTACTTACCCCTCTACT